CACGTGCAGGGGACGACAGCGTGTTCTACCTGGGGGACACACAATCTGCATCATGCCCTGTCCCAGGGAGCTTCCGTGGCTCTGATTTCTGGGCCATGGTGCTAAATCTATGTGGCCTAGTGGCTCGTGGAACTGGCAGAGGTGGCAATGGTGACATGGGTTTGTGCCCCTCTTTGCACAGGAGCCCTGATGTCCCACCAAACGCGGCCCTCACCCTGGAGGTGGAGCTGCTGGCGGCTCGGGACGCGCCGGACCTGGAGCTGCTCAGCGGGAAGGAGAAGATAGAGCTGGCCAACCGCAAGCGGGAGCGTGGCAACTTCTTCTACCAGCAGGCAGATTACGTGCTGGCCATCAACTCCTACGATATCGCCCTCAAGGTCATAGGCTCCAGCTCAAAAGGTACCTGCTCCTGCCCTGGGCGAGGGTCGTCTGGGCTCCCTTCCCCCTGTAACCCGGCTCTGGGGTCTTTGCAGTCCACTTCAGCCCGGACGAGGAGGCTGAGCTGCTGGATGTGAAGGTGAAATGTCTCAACAACCTGGCAGCGTCTCAGCTTAAATTGGACCATTACGAGGCAGCCCTAAAGTCCTGTAACCTCGTCCTGGAGCACCAGCCGGGGAACATCAAGGCTCTCTTCCGAAAGGGCAAGGTGAGGCCGAGTGTGCAGCAGGCGCTGCCGTTCCTTCTCCACGGCGTGGCCGGGCCCAGCCATGGCAGACGGAGGGCAGGACCGAGGGACAGACCTGAGTCGTCCTGCTCAATCCGTATCTCGCTTTCCAGGTCCTGGCTCAGCAGGGCGAATACAGAGAGGCCATCCCCATCTTAAAGACAGCGTTGAAGCTGGAGCCTTCAAACAAGGTAGGCTGCTGTTGTGTGCTGCTCATGATCCTGCTGAGCCGGGTGTCTGCAGGACGCCCTCCTCTTGTCCGTTTCCCTGCAAACCTCAGTGTCCCCCGTGGAAGGCTGAAGTCCCCTGTAGCTGTTCCCAGCTTCCTCCATGAAGAGAGGCTGGAAATAGCCCCCAGGGTCTGGGCAGCCGTGGGGTGATGCACCCCATGGTGCAACATCTGAGCTTGGCTGGGCTGGTGGGTCCCTTATCTCTGTGTTGCGAGACTCCCTTTTTGCCCTTTGGTCCTTGCGGTGGCAGGACTGGCTGCCAACCCATCCCTGCTTCAGCGATCCTGCGTATATGGTCCTGGCTGCTCCGGCTTCCCTGGCTGGCTCCAG